AGGTACTTGTAATATTTGATAAATATCACTATGCATTGAAGAAATGTGCTTTGTCAAGCTGTGTTTTAGAGTTATTGACAGGTTTCCCACAAAGAATTGCCTCTACCTCCATAATTTGTAAATTTCAGCTAGTCCTTGGGAATAGTCAAAATTGCACTCTCCACCAGAAGCATCAGTTGCAAGCGTGTATCACTAAAATTAACCTTGTTAAATTGTTATTAAATACAATTTCTTTAACACTCAGTGTCATAGAATGTTTTGTGCTCTATGAAAATGTCATATGAGCCAAATAGTGATTAGTTGTACCTTGACAGTGGAAGAGCTGACTCTCAAGCTCTTTTGGAAGTCTAGATTTTTGATGTAGCACTTCATATTCAGTGGAATCTTTTGATACTCTGCCACTTTGAACAAAAGAGATCTAATGTGGAGCTGTGATGCTCATTTTTTCCCCCTCACTATAGGCACTGAATGCAGAGGAGGCCCGCCTTCTTCATGTCAAGGAGATCATGCAGATTGATGAGAGGAAGCGTCCTTACAATATCATATATGAAACTCGGGAACCCACTGAAGAGGAAATGGAGGCCTATAGAATGAAACGTCAGAGGCCAGATGACCCCATGGCCTCTTTCCTTGGACAGTAGTAACTAATCATAAAAGATCATCTAAGATAGACACAACTGATATGTTCTTTTCAGCTTCTTGCTGATGATTGTAGATAGAAAAATCCTTGTATAGTCTTCTTGCTGCCTGACTTTAATAAAGCTTTCAGAAGGCTCAAAGTAAATTCATTCCTTTCCACACTGAAGAAACAAAACAAAGAAGAAAAACAAAGAGGAGGTACATTAAGTGTGGATTAAGATTTTATTTTCAGTTTTATACTGGTGATGTGGAAAGAGGCCTTGGCTCTCTACCTGTCAAGAGTGTCTTCTACTCAACAGTTATTAAATCTCAAACTTTATTTTCACAATTTTTATGGCCCTTTATTTAGTGTTAGTACACATTTTGAAGGTAAATTAGTTATTCTTTCTCAAAACCAGAGCCTTATTTTTAAAAAACTTCTGGTAACTCTATAATTGCAGTTATTTTATAATAATTGTGTTTGCCTTCTAAGGTTTTCCTGGACTGAAGTTAAAAAAAAATTATTTCAGTGGCTTTGGGTCACTGAAAGGAAATCTATAGAAAATGTAAAGAATCTCCTCCCCCGTGTCAATCTGTGTAGTAATAAATCTGTTTTTCATTTGGTTATTAAATTTGGTGTTTAATACATTCCTTGTACCTTACATCCAGAAGTAATGTGTTAGCCTTTGAATGGAAAAACAACTATTTTTTCATTCTTGAATCAGTATTGATTGATCAGTACTAGGTCTTTTATCATTCTGGACATGAGCCTTTAGACATAGAAACCCTTTATCATAGAAGATATGATTTGTGATATTATTTGTTGGTTTAATTGTGATTGCCTTTATGTAGCAATCATGAATATTAAATTAGATTTTTAAAAGACTATAGAGTATCTGGCATACCTAATCTTCATAGCAGCAAGTGTCACTTTGTAAAACATGTTGAGCACAAAACCTGAAGTTGAAGGTTTCTTTACAAAGTTATAGTGGTTGTAGGGATATTGGTAACTGAGATTGTCATGATCCTCAAGCCTCTTCTAAGAAAGCTGTGAAGAGAATACTGACAGCAAGATCAGTGAATACAGGCTGTTAACCCCTGACATGAGTACACAGACTTTTAATGGCTTTCTCAGAGGTAGTAGTGGTAGGAGAGTAACTCAGTCAATTTATCAAGTACTGTGGATATAGTTGGTGTCTAGATTCAGACTACTATGAAATTAAAACAGCAATGCAAGTAGATCTAATTCTTACCTACTTTAAGAATATCAAAAATTTGTTTTCATATTCCTTAACATAGGATGGTTCAACATAATATCTGACATTGGTATTTATTTTGTATTTTATCTTTTGTTAATAAAGATATGTACTTGAGAATACTTAACTGTGAGTAGTTTTTAGTGTTATTTCAAATATTTGGCAGAAAAGTGGTATAGGACTGGCAGGGATCCTGGGTTAGCTTCTGTGAGTTTGTATTAGAAAATGTCTGCATCCTTTAACTCAAAAAATGTTTCACCTAACCTTTCTCGGCCTCCGTTCCCTTTTCTGAGAGGCCTAATTTACTCTGATTTTAGGAAGATTTCTATAATATTCAAAGTCATGTCTTATTTCTGTTTCCTTTTGGAAAAAGTAACAGAACATTATTCAGAGAAGAACTTGATTTTATCTTAATAATAGCTGCCTTTTAAGTGCTGGAACTGTGTGCTATAATATTTGTATGTTTTCTCATTCTTCAACAGAACTTCATCGGGTGAATAATGGATGATATCCCTATTTTACAATAAGTACATGGGCTTAATGACTAAAGTAGCTTGCTGGATTCCTAATAGTTAATAGTGTTACAGCCAGAACACAAAACCAGGTGTCTCTGATTCTAAAACCTACCCTTTTCTCATTATTTATGTCCCTGGTTTCTGGACCAAGATGGCTGGTCCTTTGCAGTTTCTTCCATTGACAGAAACCTTAAGCAGGCCCTCAGGGTTTACCGGGTTCACCCTCAACACCTGAAAATGATGCACATGTCCCACATTCTTTGACAACTCCTTCTAAAACTTCCCCCTAGCACGCACCAGCCTTGTGGAATGCTTCAAAGAAGACTTACTATACAAAAATGAATAAACATTTCATTAAGTTTAAAAGAATTCCAGAAATACTCCAAAAAATAGGAAAGAGGGCTATATTTGGGTTTGTTTCTTCCAATGTTTTCTAGTTTCTATTTTGAGATTTTTTTCCTCTAAAACTTCTCTAATGTGGGTTTGTTACTTTTAAATTATGTTATTAAAAAGAATTTTATATAAAATTAAAATCTATTCTCTGAGATGGACTGATGATTCTTAGGAAATTGATCCACATGCTTTAACTTACAGGATGAGGGGCGACTTGCATGGGCAACAGGACACAAGCGGTGGAAGTTTATCCTCCACTGTGAGTATCATAATGAAATTTAAAGCCTGCCTCATTTGCCTGAATGTTTGATTTGGGAGTGCAACGAGCGTCCTCTTTTTCCTCATTGACTCCACATGGAACATGGTAGTTATTGGAGTTTTTTCATCTCCAAGTCCTGACAGTATAAAATTTTATTTCCAGTGCTCTGAATGTTAGAAAGTAGAACTATGTGGACTTTTCAGTGTCTTCCATTCCTGAGATTCTATGATTCATCCTTTCTGGCAGATACAAAAAAAATCCTCCAGCTCCACGTACACAATCTTAAAAAAAGTGGGGACGACCAGCGCGCACATAATGGGTCAACATATTAGTTACATGGACGTACATTTTACAACTAGTGAGTTTTGGCAGAACGACTAGAAAACTAGTGCATTAAGTAAATATTCTTGGCTTACTTATTGTGGTTTTTTTTAATGGCCAACATGGGCATTTAGATTTAACTGTGTCTCTGGTTAAATTATTTTAGCCACATTCTGTGGCATAGAACTTTAGGGATCACTTATTTATCTTGGAGATAGAATTGTTTTCTAAGGTATATTTGAGTCTACCTGTGGATTATACCTTTGCTCATTGCTAATGAGAGACAAAAAAAAGACATGGCTTTCTTTTTTAGGTCCCTCAACCTTCAGAGGAGATTGTCATCAACTCAGAAAACTTAGAAAACTTAAATGCCTATTAAAGCATTTGGATTGTTCATTTGTCAATCTAGAATATCTGTAAGCTAGAGATTGGCTTGGAGGATATGTTTTCATTCTTTTAAAACTGACTACTTACTAGGATGTGTATCAGGATTACCTGGACATCTTTATTTCACATTCTTTTGTCCTACTTCTGGAGAAGATTTATTAGGTAGTGCATGGGACATGTATACTTCCCAGTGATTGTGATGGGCATCTTTTATTACAGATAACTGTTTCAGTTACTATTCATAAGAATTATCTAAAATACTTATTCAGAATACAGATTCTAGGCCCTTACTTCAGAGGTAAGAATCAGAATCTCGGGGGAGTCGGGGAGAAGAATCTGCTCAGATGATTCCTCCATTTACTAAAGTAGGGAACCACTGCCTTCTACATCCTGTCCTTGGGTTAAGCCAAATTAGGAATGCTGCTGTGTTCATTCTGTTGGTTTTGGCTTCTTTCTTTCTTTCTTTCTTTCTTTCTTTCTTTCTTTCTTTCTTTCTTTCTTTCTTTTTCTTTCTTTTCTGTGTTTCAGAAAGCAATTTTTTTATTGAAATGTAATTGATTATACATATTTGTGGGGTACAAAGTTGAATATCAATACCTGTGTACAATGTGTAATGATCAAATCAGGATAATTAGCATATTCAACATTACAAAACAAAATCATTTGGCTTCTTTCTTGATTGTTTTTATTGAGGGGTAGTCATGAAAAAGCATTATGAAATTCTTTATTGTACTTATGCGTTCCTCTCATATGAGAGGAATTTTTCGGAAGTCTCGGTAACAAGAATTATTGTGTTTCTCCTGATCAAGTTACTTTGCTTTTATATATGGACAATGTGAGTTACGGAGTGATAGTGTGTTATACTTTACATAGCAGCAAGGATACTCTGGATCAAATTTGTAATTTAACTTTGTGTCATTGGTAGCTTAATTAGACTTAAAAGACCTATTTGAAATTCTCTGCTTATGTTGGAGTTAAAACAGCTCAAGGGTCAAATAGTTTTTCAGACCCGTTTAATTCTTAACTATTAAAAAGAACTAGCCACCATGTCAAAATCTGCCCTTCCTTAGAGTGTTTAGTAAATTACTTCTTTCTCTATTCTGTCGTTCTTAACCAAGGGTGTGCATACATCTTTGGGGCAGGATGGAAGGAGGGGGTGGTAGTGAGATGCCCTTTCTGGGGATACAAAATGTACCAGATTTGTTTGTAACATACATGATTGAAAACAAATTAAACCATAATTGCAATTTGCCAGTAAAGGACTTATGAATATTCGTAACTTGCCTAAGCCCAAATCTCTCACTTATGACTTGCTTGCAAATCATTTATTGCAGGGCACCAGTTATGTATTGCTGGTATTAAAGTAGACTGTCATGCTGTCATGGCTTACTTCAAACTGACATGTTGCAGGGTATGTCTTGACATGTACAGGATAGCATGTAGTATGACTTTGTTATAATTTGATTGTCCAGTGATTTTTAATTTGTGGGTTATATTTTACTCCCAAAGCAAAGTTCTGTGGCATCTCTGGATTACTACCTGAGAAATTTTGTGTGTCATGTCGAAGAAACGCAAATGGGAAGATGACTATGTTCGTTACTGGTTCACCTGTACAACGGAAGTTGATGGAACTCAGCGCCCACAATGTGTATTGTGTAAGTCGGTATTTTCAAATGCTGACCTCAGACCATCAAAACTGTCAGACCATTTTAACAGACAGCATGGTGGTATAGCTGGACATGATCTCAATAGCCTGAAGCATATGCCAACACCATCTGATCAGAGTGAAACCTTGAAAACATTTGGAGTTCCATCTAATGAGGATGCCTTATTACAAGCATCATATCAGTTTGCATATTTATGTGCTAAGGAGAAGAATCCTCATACAATAGCTGAAAAATTAGTGAAACCTTGTGCACTGGAAATAGCTCAAATAGTTTTGGGACCAGATGCCCAAAAGAAGCTTCAGCAAGTACCCTTATCAGATGATGTGATCCATTCTAGAATTGATGAAATGAGCCAGGATATCTTACAGCAAGTTCTAGAAGATATCAAAGCCAGTCCTCTTAGAGTGGGTATTCAGCTTGCTGAGACAACTGACATGGATGACTGCAGTCAGCTAATGGCATTTGTGCGATATATAAAAGAAAGAGAGATCATAGAAGAATTCCTATTCTGTGAACCATTGCAGTTAACCATGAAAGGAATAGATGTGTTCAGTCTCTTCAGAGACTTCTTTTTGAAGCATAAGATAGCACTTGATGTTTGTGGCTCTGTTTGTACTGATGGTGCCTCCTCTATGCTAGGAGAAAATTCAGAATTTGTTGCCTGTGTGAAAAAAGAGGTACCTCATATTGTGATCACACATTGTTTGTTGAACCCTCATGCACTTGTCACAAAGACATTACCTGCAAAGCTGAAGGATGCTCTGTTTACTGTGGTGAGGGTAATAAATTTCATCAAAGGGCGAGCTCCAAATCATCGCCTTTTTCAGGCTTTCTTTGAAGAAATTGGTATAGAATATAGTGTCCTCCTTTTCCATACTGAAATGAGGTGGCTTTCCCGAGGCCAAATACTTACTCATATTTTTGAAATGTATGAAGAAATAAATCAATTTCTTCATCACCAAAGCAGTAATTTAGTTGATGACTTTGAAAATAAAGAGTTTAAAATTCACCTAGCATACCTTGCAGATTTATTCAAACACCTAAATGAACTTAGTGCCTCTCTGCAAAGGACTGGGATGAACACAGTATCAGCCAGAGAGAAGTTATCTGCTTTTGTTAGGAAGTTTCCATTTTGGCAAAAACGAATCGAGAAAAGAAATTTTACCAACTTTCCTTTTCTTGAAGAAGTAATTGTTTCAGATAATGAAGGAATATGCATTGCAGCTGAAATATCACTGCATCTCCAACAGTTGAGCAACTTCTTCCATGGGTATTTTTCTGTTGGAGATCTTGATGAGGCAAGTAAATGGGTACTGGATCCATTTCTTTTTAATCTCGATTTTGTTGATGATGGTTATTTAATGAAAAATGATCTTGCTGAATTACGAGCTAGTGGCCAAATCCTAATGGAATTTGAAACAATGAAGCTTGAGGATTTTTGGAGTGCTCAATTCACAGTGTTTCCAAACCTGGCAAAGACAGCTCTAGAAATCCTTATGCCATTTGCAACTACATATCTTTGTGAGTTGGGATTTTCATCACTTTTACATTTTAAAACAAAGTCCAGAAGCTGCTTTAATGTTAGTGATGACATTCGTGTGGCTATTTCAAAAAAAGTACCTCGTTTTTCAGACATCATTGAACAAAAACTACAGCAGAAGTCGCTATAAGCTGATATACTTTTTTAATGTGTAATTTTTAATATATTCTTACTACCATCGTAAAATTAAGCTGTAATTCTGTTTCTTTCCTTTTATATTTATGGTATACTGAATTCTGTGCTTAAAAAATTCAGCAATTTTAACTTTAATGAGGCATGTGAAAATATGTTTTAAGAAGGATACAAATAGAAAAGATTAAATACCACTGCTAGTTGATACATAGCATTTTTCTAATTCTGAGTATCTGTTTAACCTTTTGATGCAATACATTAAAAAGATACCCAAGCACTAGAATATCCAGCTAATGGTACAATAGGCTAGGAATTGAGCCAAGAGAAAAAGAGAAGACCTCCCAGAAGTCAAAGGACAAAATGACAGTGAGTCCACCTGTCTTCGTAAGGGTTGTTATGGGGAGGTTAATGAAATTAGAAGAGGATTATGAAATATTACAGTGGAAGAAGGGATGATCTAGCTTATGTAAGACTCATTTTTAACTGTACTCTTTGGAGTTGATCTCACAATGTCCACTCCCCTAGTTCCCATGCTTTAAATACTATATTAATAAATATCCTGATATCATATTAGTCACTCTTTGTCTTCTTTTAAATTACTTCAGGACTCCAGGTTATCAAGGCTGCTGAAAAGGAGATTCTGAAGGCTTACCCTAGAGATTCTGATTTAGCAGGTCTGCCATAAGGTCAAGGATCCTCATTCTTAACCAGTTTTCCAGATGGTTCCAATGGATTCTTTGGTCCTCTGGCCTCCTCTTATTTTTCCTACACTTAATTTTCCTTTACCCTAATTTTCTCACTTCCGTTGCCTTCTATATTTATTTTTCTAAGATAGTTCAAAATTTTTGAGTGGACCACAGTATAAATCATAAATAAATTGACATGAAATCATTTGAGTAATTCAGGGCCGTCAAAAAATTCTCCATGGGAATATAAATTAGTATACTTTTTCTAGATGATTTGGAAGCATATATATTTTAAAATTTAAATAAATTTACATTTGTATTTTAAAAGTTTAATGTTTTTTCAAAGTTACTACATGCTCAAGGCTGTGGAAAAAATGGTATAAGAGTCCTATCAGGAAAAGCCACAATCCCCTTTCTGCCCAGTTACCTTAACCATTTCTGCTTTAAGTCCTTGTGGTTTCACCCATATCTCTAAATAATATGTTCATATCAAGTTCATGTGGCAATTTTGATATATCAGCTTTTTTTGGTGGGGGGGGGGGCTGGCCAGTAAGGGGATCGAATCCCTTGACCTTGGTGTGATATCAGCACCACACTCTTACCAACAGATTTATCAGCTTTAGAAGCTATATATTGACTCCTCTAGATAATAGATAAGGATTGAATTTATAAAACACCTATTTTCTTTCCTGCTACTCCTCTCAATTTTTATTATTATAGCACTAATTTTAGTTCCTTTATCAGTTATTCGTAGCTCTTTGATTGAGGACTTTTCCCCCTAGAAATTTATCACGTGGAAAGAATCAGGGATGGCCACAAAGTTTTATTTCTAAGTTGGATAATCACAGTATTTTTATAGTAGGGAAAAATCAAAAAAAGTCTAAATGGTAATGGAACCTGACTACCAATTTAGATGCCACTTGAGTACTGCAAATTGGAGCTTATATTTTCTACAGAAAACTCAGCTTTATCACCGTCCATCAAAATGCTTTCATCAGTAAATGTAAATACATTCCTTCTTTCATTTAAAAATGTAGTTACAGAATATAGGTCCTAATTTTTCCTATTATAATCTAACATCAAAAGCAGTGGGAAAAATTTCCAAAGCTAATGCAGGAATAAATCTAGATGTGTATGTATAAAATTTAATTGGTATGCAGTTCTAAAGATAGGAAAGAAGTAGGGATGGGGACAAGGGCATGTACGAAGCCTGGGACCTAGGGTGAAATGACCTTTCATAGACAGTGTTTCATTAAGTCTACTAGAATTTTCTCTTACATTGAATTAATTAATTCCTGCTATGAAAAACTCAAAGGAGATTTTTAAGGAAATGGCTAACTAGGGTTTTTAATTCATTTTCAAATTCTACAGTTTATTTTCTCCTCATCAAAAAAAAGAGGCTGCAATGTTTGCTAAAATAAACTTAGATTTTTTTTCTTTTAGTAAAAACAATCTCCCACAATGGTACATATGTGTTAGTGTCTTTTTTTCTGAGGAAGAGATCATTTGTTTTTCTTCTTCTTCTTCTTCTTATTATTATTATTATTTTGTATTTTCATTATTATGATGAAGATCATTGATACATTTTGTAAAGGAATTCAGACAGTATAAAGATGTAATCTTTATGACCAGCAGATGTCACTCTCTGTGCAGGTTGGTTGAATGCGAACTTACTTGCATTACAGATTTTGCCAAATATCTGATTTTAAACATCTCTAGAAGGTATTACTGACTCAGACTAAAAATGCCCCATCTGAGCCTCTCTTGGCTCAAAATTAGCAGACAAAACTCTGGTGGAGCCAGTAACCACAAGACTGCAAGAAATCGCTGGGAAACAAGGGTGGGAAAGACAAGATAGCGTTTTCTATGAAACTGACTTGAGCATGTGGATTTTTGACCTATCAGTTGCTTTTATAAGCCACCAAAAGCTTTAAAAAGTTGGCTAATAGTCGGCATTTTCAGACATGATCCAGTCAGAATCAAAAACAAATAGACACTATTTTTGGAGCAGCTGGTCATTATGGGGATCTGAAAGACATAAGATTTTTGAAGGGTGAACTTTATCATACTTGAATTATATCTCAGTTTCTTAAAAATAGCCTCTGGATATTCATAGTATAGATTCGCTACAAATCTTAACTGTAATTCAGAAATGGATTTGAGTCCTGGCTCAGCTACTTACTGGCTGTGTACACTCTGTAGCTCTCAGCATATGGGAATCAGGAGGTCTGGCAGACTGATCCTCTCATTTTGAACTGCTTGGTATTTATTCATTTACTTGCTTTTTTTCATCGTAGCACCCTGATTTTACTTTGAGGAACTATCCTTCCCCCACTGTTAATCCATATGGCCCCATGCTGGCTAATTAGAGTCAGCTCCAGTTTTTGCTGGAATTAATAGGAAAGATGCTACACGTGCTAACCTAGCAGGATGTGCCTCAAGCTGCCAATGGTCAATTTTGCTACCTTATACAGAGAAACTACCAGAGGATGAAACCAACAGAGAATCTAAGAAAAGGAAAAAGATTCTTCATGACGTCGCTTCAGCCTCTAAATGTAGTCATACTTTCTTTTTCCTTTCAAAGTTACATGAGCTAACAAATTTCCCTTTTTGCTGAAGCCTGTTTCCTGACACATACAATCAAGAGACCTGCCTCATGTACTTGGTTTCCAATCTTTTTATGAATGAGTAATGGGAAAGTTTTGATTCCATTAATTTTATTATGCGATTACCAGTCCTGGGCCCCAATTTTCTCCCCTATAATATGAAACAGTTGGACAGTTTTTTCCTACAGAACCTTTTCATTTCTTTCCAAGAGGCCATATTTTATTTGCTTAAATTTTGGAACTTTGGTGATACTGACATCAGTATGAAGAACTTAACAGAAAACTAGACTTTTGGGGAGTCTTTTGTTGGTTTTGGTTTTGGGGTTTTTTTTGTAGGGGGGTTTTTGTTGCTCCATAAATCAATCATCAGCTTGATTTATGGAGCAACATAATTCCTATTTATCATTTTCTTCTTCTTTTTTTTTTTTTTAAAGATGACTGGTAAGGGGATCTTAACCCTTGTCTTGGTGTTGTCAGCACCACGCTCACCCAGTGAGCAAACCAGCCATCCCTATATGGGATCCGAACCCGTGGCCTTGGTGTTATCAGCACCGCACTCTCCCGAGTGAGCCACAGGCCGGCCCTATCATTTTCTTCTAATAAAAGCCCTATTCAAATATTCAGGAGACCTTTATCCCCAATATTTTATTACAAAATATTTTAAGCATACAAAAAAGTAGGAAGAGTACTATAATGAACATCCAAATGCCTATTTTCTAGATTTGGAAATTAACATTTTGCCATAGCTGCCTGTCTATATAAATATATAGGTATCCGTGTATCAAGCAGGATTCAGTCAAGAAACAGAAATCATACCAGATTCTAAACAAATAGAATCTACTATTTTCAAAAAATTACCAGATATCAGAGAACTGGGAAGGCAAAAGGAGATACTGAGGTATCACAGACAATAAATGCAGGATACAGCTAGCATCACAAGGGCTGGGTAAACATGAAAGGAAGTTGGGGTAATTAAAAAGTGGAAACTTGGATGAAGGATCTCTTGGAAATGAAATTCATTTGTCTGAGAAGGGGGCCCTGCTTGACTGTTGCTATTGTTAGGAGCTCAAAAGGGTGAAGAACAGGTGCCAGCCTGCTGGTGCTGCCATCTCTGAGAAAATATGATAAGGGTGATTTTGACAGTGTGAAAAAACTGAAAACTTAAGTCAACTGCTACTGGAATTAATTTACTGCCACAGTGAAGAACCATTACAGAGATGATACAATAGAAAGCAAAAGAGGAAGAAGCAAGTCACTTGTCCTTCCTCTAGATTTCCACTATCTTTCTTTAACTCCTTATTTGCAGAGCCTAATAGAAAGCTAGGTGATAAAGAAATGAGTTTTGTGGGGTTCCAGTCCCAGCATCATAAAGTAGAGTATGAGAGGGTGGATTTGAAGCTAAAAGACATTAGCTTAATACCCAGCACTTTTCACCCCTCTGGCTAACTCAACATCTGTTCATACCCTTCTATACATATTTGAATTTCTATACAGTAAACATAGTTTCGTAGTTCTGTTAAGATGTAACTATCCTGGGCCGACCCCGTGGCGCACTCAGGAGAGTGTGGTGCTGGGAGCGCAGCGACGCTCCCGCCGCAGGTTCGGATCCTATATAGGACTGGCAGGTGCGCTCACTGGCTGAGCGCGGTGTGGGCGACACCGAGCCAAGGGTTGCGATCACCTTACCAGTCACGAAAAAGACAAAAAAAAAAAAAAGATGTAACTATCCTTTGTACAAAGATGCTGTCACTTCCCAAAATGAGGAGACACAAAGTCCCAACTCACTCAAATTTAGTAGCAGTCTCATTAAGTATTCTGTTGCCTAAAAACTAAATTGTGAAGTTAACTACCCTTAATAATCATTGCATAAAATTTTAAAATCATTCATAGATAGCCAATAGGTCAAAGAATAAGCCACAAGAGAAAATAGAAAATACTTTGAAATAAATGAAAACAAAAATACTCCATACCAGAACATACGGAGGCAGGAAAGGTAGGGCTCAAAGGGAAATGTATAGCTGTAAATGCTTACATTAAGAAGAAGAGAAACATCAAATCAGTAAATCTAAACTTCTGCCTTAAGAAACTAGAAAAGTAAGAGCAAACTAAACCCAAAGCAAGTAAAAGGAAGGAACTATTAAAGATTAGAGTGAATCTGCATGTGGGATCCGAACCCTCGGCGGGAGCGCCGCCGCACTTCCCAAGCAGTGCACCATAGCAGTGCACCACCGGGCTGGCCCTTTTTTACTAAGACTATCTAAAGTACTTGCTACTACTACCT